AAAAAAAAAAAAATATATATATATATATATACATATATATTGTTTTAAATATGAATACATTCTAATTATATTGCAGTTTGGTCCTTCTGGAGTTCTATGTGGACTTTGTGTGATTGTTAGTTATTGCAGATCCACACAAGTATCCACTATCAACGAGTCAACTGATTGGATTATCTGCCACAATTGGCTTTATGCTTAGATCAAACGAATGGCCCTTTCAGCTTTTCGCTGCTTTTCCGGTGTGGCTGCTGTTTGCTTTAGCTTTGTTCATTTTTTAATTGCAAGAAAGTACTGGGGAACGAAAATATATATTTGGGATTATTTTGATCATAATCTGTGAGAATATATTAAGGCAGTGACAAGTGATTCCCTCTCAATATAATACTAGTACAACTCTCGTGTATTACACGGGTTCTAATTTTTTTCTTAAAATCTAAAATTAATGAGAAAAATAGTTCAAAATTTAAATACCTTTTGTAAAAATATATATTATTATATATTTAGTATGTCATTTTTTATTTGTACGACTTACCTGTGTTATATTATAATAATTTTTTTAACTTATAGTAGCATATAACTACATTAAACATAAATATATCAATTGAGAAACAATTTTATTATTCTAATGAATTTTAATAAATATAATTATTTTTTCTTATTATTAATATAAATATAATTTATTTATTTCAATATATACAATATGAATGTCAAATCGAAGATCATCAAAAGATGATTAATTTGATATATTATATATGTAAAACCGATAAGAAATACAAAAGTTATCAACTTTTAAAATACATTTATAATTCAATAGCTAATTGAAGGAAACAAATCAAAAGTCAGGGATATAAAATACTTAAGTTAGCTAAATAATATTTATGAAATGTCCAAACCTAGATTATTAATTATTAATATATCAATATTATTTGTCCAAACCTAATTACGAAGCATGATTCTTCGTCAAGTAGGATTCCGAAGCACCAGAAACAGCCACGTAGGCTCAGCGCATTAGGGAATTATATATAAGGAGGATGTAGAGATGTAAATGGTATGTGTTGGTGAAAGTTTGAGGTGTTTCTAATTACATTTGTTTATGTTGTGTTACACTAGTGATTTATAAAAGATATTAGTAGTGAATAGTAATAGAGTGAATAATAGACCTAAAATCATTAATGTACAAATCTTTTTAAAACTAAAATCTAAGGATACCCGACGTCATATTATAGGAAAATGTAAGAATCCCGTTACAAGATGGTTATGTCAGTGATTTTTACCGTTGGATAAACTGTAGAGTGATGTAGATAATATATGGTAACAAACATTGACAAAATCATTTCGTCAAACGGGACTGTAGACATTCTCTATATTATATTTCTTCACGAAAACTTAAGGTGTGCATTTAACAAGAAATTGATATATATCTAGTCTTTTTTTGTTACACTGTTCACTAAAATAGTAAATATCTAGCATTTTTTAACTACTAATCAAAGTTCTTTTTAATTACATTATAAAACACATTTTTCTAAGTTTTCAATGAAATATATCAATTGAAAATTTGATATCTTGATTATCGAAAAAATAAATAAAAATTATATGCACCCGTGTGCCGTTTATCTTCTTCATTAATTATGTCAGTGATATAAAATTGATATATCCTACATATTCGTCCCATCATGGTCTTCGGAAAGTTTGACAAAATTTTAATTGAGTTGGTTTTTTTTTTTTTTTTTTGGCATTTAGGGTTTCTAATATTTATGAGACAAATTATCATTTTTCAAGATTTTAGGAGGTAATTTATCAATCTAAAACTTTAAACCACATTTTTTTTAGGGAATGCAGCAGTGTTAAAACTCTTGAGGGAGAGCTTTGCCGCCCTTGTGATCCTACCCGGCTCGATTCCAGATTAGTCGGTCCCCTGTGGA